CACACACACACACACACGTACGCGTACACACACACGCACGTGCACACACACCAGGTGCCCCTGGGCGCGCTGTTCCGCGGCCTGCGCGTGCGCATGTCCCTCGCCACCGGCCGCGCGGAGGACGTGCGCCTGCACACTGTGACTCAGCGCCACGAGTACGGCGGCTCGGTGCTGCGGCGCGTGCAGGCCGTCGCGGAGACGCCGCACGGGGGGCAGGTGGGGAGGCACGAGCGCGGCGATCGCGAGGGGCCGCGTGCGATGTGACGCCGTCGCGCGGGGCCGCACAGCAGGGGCTCTTTACGTCGGTTTTCGAAGCAGGCGGCAAGCAGCGCCTTGTGATTTGATCTGTTCTGATCTGATTTGATTTGGTCTGGTGTTTTGTATTTCAAATCCCTCAGGTCATCATGGACCCCGACACCTTCCAAGGCATCCACGCGCGGCTGCCAGAGCTCGGGGGTGCAGTGCTGGACGCCACCCAAAAGGTGAGGGTGGGCTGGGGAGGCTGCTTGGGATGGGATGCAAACGTGGTGCCCACCCGCGTTTGGTGTTGTGCGTACACGCCAACTGATGTGTGTGTGTGAGTTAGTGTTTGTGTGCGCGTAGTTTTGTGAGCGCCTGTGAGTTAGAGAGAGCGTGTGTGTGTCTCTGTTTTGTGGGTGCATGTGAGAGTGAGGGTGAGGGTGCGGGTGGGTGGGCTGCGTGTGTTGTCTGGATGCGCACCCACATGAGAGTGCGGATGCGGGCCAGGGCCGCCAGCTCAGCGATAGAGCGACTGTTGCGCTGCGGAGCGGGCTGCTGTCGGGTACCTTCTGGTGGCGCTGGGCGCCAGAAGCTGGGCGCCACCACCCCTCCCTGCCTGAGCGCCAGCCTCAGTCGGCACCTCCCCTCAGCCCTCAAAACGGCCTGCCAATCCCCTGGACCCTCCCCCCCTCCCCACGCACCCCAGGCGCTGCGCGCCGCCGGCGCGGAGGTCGGTGTGCACGAGCTGCTGCATATGGCGGGGCTGGGCGGGCCAGACCTCGGTGAGTCGTCATATGCGCGCGCGCGCGCGCGTGTGTATGTGTGTGTGTGTGTGCCTGTGTGTGCGCGTGTGTGCGTGTGTGCGTGCAGGCGCACGCGTGTGCCCAAGCACGTGTGCGTGCATTGTTTCGGTGCATGTGAACACATGCATGTGTGGCTCTGCACCGCTGACACTCATCCCCATC